TGAGGTTCCCATAATGAAGATCGGAAAAAAAAAATAAAGTATCCGGTTGCTGGAGGCAACTCAGAACTTCTTTTGTAGGAAATGTCTCAAAGGGACACATTATTATTATTATTATACAGGATTTATATATTATTATTATATACAGGATTTATATATTATTATTATTATTATACAGGATTTATATATAATATTATTATTATTATACAGGATTTATATATTATTATTATACAGGATTTATATGGAGCCAACAGTTTGCTCAGCACTTTACAATATAAGGGAGACAATACAGCAACAATACAGTTCAATACAAGAGGGTTAGGAGGGCCCTTCACTTGGTAAATGTAAGGGTTTACAACCACTTTAAAGCGGAACTTAACTCCCAAAAGGGAGTTCATTGCACTGTAAATTGGTTGTAAACCTTCAAATATACCCAGTGAAGTGACTGGCCTCAGGCGACAGAGAGAGAAAATAAAAATCCTCCTACATAAGTTGTACCTATTTATCTGAGTCCCCTTTCCTCTACAGCCATTCAAAGTGCAGAATTTAGACAGCATTTCTCAGCTCCAGAAGGCAGTGGGTGGGGTTCTGATGTCACACACTGTACAGCATAGCGTACAGAGCTGAATGTAATCTGAGACCTGAGTGAAGGGAAAGGACACACCCCTTCCACACGATCTCATAGGGAAACATGCACTGCTGAGGCTGTCAGTCACCTGCTGTGTGCTGGAGGGGGACAGGGCTTTCTCATGGGACTGTCTGGTGTCCGCATAGACCATCAGATGGCAGAGGACAGAAATCACACTAAGTGCTTTGGGTTGAAGCAAGTGCACACTTTGGAAGGGCATGCTCTGCTTTTTTGTTTTTTTTTTTTTAATTTCAAAAGCTAGCAACCATTTTAACACTCCTCCCTCCCCAAGCAGAATTGTGGGATTTTTTCTTTTTTAGGTAAGAATGACATGCGCTTGGTTATGCAGCCTCCTGAGATATTTACATCACATCTCCCAAGAGGCTGCGCGATCTGCTCACAGCGCAACCAGGGGGGAGCTGGGGGGCATCTTGGTGCAGTGCTCATCAGAGCTGGCAGCCTGCACCCGGAAGGGGCAGCAAACTGAAGAGGACCAATATGGCAGCGCTGGGCTCCCTGTGTGCCTCCTGAACTGTGGGCCATCACTGGATTCGCTGTGTGGGAGAGTATATGCTTTGAAGAGCACTACAGTGAAAAAAAACCACGGGATGGGGTGTAAGTACCGCTTCAGGCTGGCACTCTGCAAATTTCCTCCAGTTCCTGATGAACCAGCCAAAATTCACTTTTTTAGTGGCCCCCTCCTGCTCAACATCCTTCGCCTAAAACATTGATGACTCTTTGGAGAAAATTGTTGGCCGAACAGCAGCTGCATCCAATCAGATGCAGCCGATGTTGGGATATTCTGACACCTGCCACTGGTGCCTGTGAGAACACAATAGCCCAGCAGGAGGATTTGGCCATCAGCCCTAAGACAGGTTTTAGTCAGTCGGTTCATTCATCTGATTGTTTTGATATTCAATTCTGTGAAAATAAACAAAGCATTTGTTGGCATTCTCATTTTTTTATTTTTCCATGTTTTGATTGTGAGCTCTAATGAGAAGTAAACTGTTGGCGCGATATAAATCCTGTATAATAATAATGTGTGGCACAATTGAAGGTTTTTTTTTTTCAATTTAAAAATCTCAATCAGATTGAATAAAATCTTGTCTGAGAATAATTGTAGCTGTGATTGTAAATCCCATTTAATTTGCTTACCGTTGTTCCACTGATTTTTCTCTGCTGTAGTTTCACTTGCACTTACACCCATACCATCCAGCCCCACCACACCCATCCATCCAACTCATACCACCCCACCCAACAGCCGTCCTATCCCACCCATCTAACCTTCCATCTAACCCACACCACCCCCCAAACACTCATTGCACCCCAACCCACTCATCCAACCAACCAACCCAAAAACCCATCTAACTCCAACTCATCAATCCCAGCCCACCCATCTATCTAACCAATCCACACCACCCCACCCAAAACACACTCATTGCACCCCAGCCGACCCGTCCAACCCAACCCACCCATCCAACAACCCATCCATCTAACCAATCCACACCACCCCACCCAAAACACTCATTGCACCCCAGCCAACCTGTCCAACCCACCCCAAACACCCAGCTCTCCCCAACAGCCGTTACAACCCCCAACAGCTATCCCACTCATCCAACCAACCCAAAAACCCTTCCCACCCCAACCCATCAATCCCAGCCCACCCATCTAACCCATCCATCTAACAAATCCACACCACCCCCACCCAAAACACTCATTGCACCCCAGCCAACCCATCCAACCCACCCCAAACACCCAACTCACCCCAACACCCGTTACAACCATCTATCCCACTCATCCAACCCACCTCATCCAAACACTCATCTCACCCCAACCTACCAAAAAAATCCTACCAAGCCAAAGTCAGGTCCTTGCACTGCTTGCATTAAAAGAAAAATAATGTATTAATGAATCCTGGGCTTCAATACCTCGTGTCTTTTATATCTGCCTGGAGTTCAGTTTTACATTTTTGAAATCATCTCTATTATCTCCATAGCCAAGTAGACGGTAGAGTCCCCCGGCATCTAACGGGTGAAGTGCGAGCCGCAGACGAGAAATGCGTATCCGGTTAATATTGCGCCCCGTTTTGTGTCCCACTGTTCTCTCCCTCTCTGGAATTTCCTAAGGAATGTTCCAGTTTGTATCCAGCTTCCTCTCTTTCTTTTCGCTGACTCTCTCATTTTCTCTCCCTGACCTTGAAAGGTGATCCACTGAATTAATGTCGTTTCCCCTTGTCAAGCCATTCCTAGGGATACCATTTTCGGCAGCGTTCAGGCGGCTGTATTAGCGTGTTACATTAACACCAAAGGGGCTCGCAGGCAGATTGCAATTACCCTTATTAATTGCGGTTTGGATAGGAACCCGCGGTGATTGTCCATACAATAGTTTCTTGATGAATGCCAGTTTAACACCGTGCGCAGAGTTCTGCTTGGCACACAGAATGTTTGGATTTTTTTTTTTTTGGCTCTCAGAGAGGATTAAAAAGTCCTTAAAGCTGAACTCCAGCCTTCCCTTCAGTCTTGCAGGTTCCTCTTCTGTGCTGAAGGCTTACTCTGATTTCCCTGCACACTGTGAGCTTCTCATAGTATGCATTATTATTATTATTATACAGTATTTATATAGCACCCAAGGGTATGCTCAGCGCTGTACAGTAGCAGGAGGACAGAACATGAGACAAGACCGTAACAATACACGAGGGGTTCGAGGGCCCTGCTCTTTCAAGCTTACAATCTAGGAGGGAGGGGAAGGTGGCACAGGAGGAGATGACTGTGGGGGATGGAGAGGCTGGAGGAGTGGAGGAAGTTAGTTGTTAGGTGAGTTCGGGTGTTAGGTGAGGTTGGGGTAGGCTTCCCTGAAGAGGAGGGTTTTCAGGGTGCGCATGAAGGTGAGGAGGGTAGGCGACAGTCTGATGGATTGGGGTAGGGAGTTCCAGACGATGGGGGAAGTCCTAGAGAAGTCCTGCAATCGGGCGTGGGAGGAGGAGACCAGGGAGCTAGAGAGTAGGAGGTCCTGTGAGGAGCGGAGGGCACGGGTAGGGTGGTATTTGGGTATCAGGTAAGTTATGTAGTTTGGGGCGGCATTGTGAATGGCATTGTAGGTCAGAGTTAGCTGTTGAAATTTGATGCGTTGGGCAATCGGGAGCCAATGAAGGGATTGGCAGAGGGGGGAGGCAGATGTGGAGCGGTTGGTGAGGTGGATTAGTCTGGCCGCTGAGTTCAGGATCGACTGGAGTGGGGATAGCGTTCGTTTGGGTAGGCCAGTGAGAAGGGAATTGAAGTAGTCCAGGCGTGAGATGATGAGGGAGTGTACGAGTTGTTTGGTGGTGTCTGGGGTGGGGAATGTGTGTATCTTGAAGATGTTGCGGAGGTGGAGCCTGCAAGATCTAGATAGCAGTTGGATGTGGGGTAGGAAGGAGAGGTGGGAGTCCAGGGTGACACCCAGGACTTTGGTGTGTGGGGTGGGAGAGATGGTGGCGTTGTTAGCAGTGATGGAGAGGATGGGGGGGGCACGGGGGTGGGGGGAAGACCAGGAGCTCAGTTTTGGATAGGTTGAGTTTGAGGAAATGGATCGACATCCAGTCTGATATGTCGTTTAGAAGCTGCAGCAAATCAGAGGGAGCCTGCCTCATTTCCTGGCTGAAAGACATCCAGCATCATCTAGCTCTTTCCTTCCCTGCCTGACTGCTGACCAACCTGAATGATCAGTAATTATTTGAAACGGTGCTAGTTCATATTCTGTACAAGGCGTTGACATGTGTTTTCCATTTTTTTTATGACTCGCTGCACCTTACAGGACTTGTTAACAACAGTGGCTGCTGATGAAATGCATAATGGATAATGAAAATGCCCATAAAAAAGGTTATTATTATTATTATAATACAGGATTTATATAGCGCCAACAGTTTGCTCAGCGCTTTACAAAATGAAGGTAGACATTCCAGTTACAATACAATTTGGTACAAGAGGAAACAGAGGACCCGGCTCGTTAGAGCTTACAATCTAGGAGGAAGGGTTGAGTGATACAAAAGGTAATAGCTGTGGGGGGATGAGCTGATGGAGGAAATAAATGGCGGTTTACTAGGTAGATGCAGGATAGACTTCTTTAAAGAGAAAGGTTTTCAGGGATCATCTAAAGGTGGATAGATTAGGAGACAGCCGGACAGATTGGGGTAGAGAGTTCCATAGGATGGAAGACGCTCTGGATAAGTCCTGGAGGCGAGCATGGGAGGAGGTGACATGGGAACTAGAGAGCAGAAGGTCTTAGGAGGATCGAAGAGAGCAGTTTGGTTGATATTTTGAGACCAGGTTGGTGATGTAGCTGGGGGCAGAGTTGTGGATGGCTTTGTATGTTGTTGTTAGTAATTTTATTTTTTATTCGTTGAGTGAGTGGAAGCCAGTGGAGAGATTGGCAGAGAGGGGTGGAGGACACTGAATGGAAGCCAGTGGAGGGATTGGCAGAGGGGGGTGGAGGACACTGAATGGAAGCCAGTGGAGGGATTGGCAGAGAGGGGTGGAGGACACTGAATGGAAGCCAGTGGAGGGATTGGCAGAGGGGGGGGAGGACACTGAATGGAAGCCAGTGAAGGGATTGGCAGAGAGGGGTGGAGGACACTGAATGGAAGCCAATGGAGGGATTGGCAGAGAGGGGTAGAGGACACTGAATGGAAGCCAGTGGAGGGATTGGCAGAGAGGGGTGGAGGACACTGAATGGAAGCCAGTGGAGGGATTGGCAGAGAGGGGTGGAGGACACTGAATAGAAGCCAGTGGAGGGATTGGCAGAGGGGGGTGGAGGACACTGATTGGAAGCCAGTGGAGGGATTGGCAGAGGAGGGTGGAGGACACTGAATGCAAGCCAGTGGAGGGATTGGAAGAGAGGGGTGGAGGACACTGAATGGAAGCCAGTGGAGGGATTGGCAGAGGGGGGTGGAGGACACTGAATGGAAGCCAGTGGAGAGATTGGCAGAGAGGGGTGGAGGACACTGAATGGAAACCAATGGAGGGATTGGCAGAGGGGGGTGGAGGACACTTAATGGAAGCCAATGGAGGGGTTGCAGAGAGGGGTGGAGGACACTGAATGGAAGCCAGTGGAGGGATTGGCAGAGGGGGGTGGAGGACACTGATTGGAAGCCAGTGGAGGGATTGGCAGAGGGGGGTGGAGGACACTGAATGCACGCCAGTGGAGGGATTGGCAGAGAGGGGTGGAGGACACTGAATGGAAGCCAGTGGAGAGATTGGCAGAGAGGGGTGGAGGACACTGAATGGAAGCCAGTGGAGGGATTGGCAGAGAGGGGTGGAGGACACTGAATGGAAGCCAGTGGAGAGATTGGCAGAGAGGGGTGGAGGACACTGAATGGAAACCAATGGAGGGATTGGCAGAGAGGGGTGGAGGACACTTAATGGAAGCCAATGGAGGGGTTGCAGAGAGGGCTGGAGGACACTGAATGGAAGCCAGTGGAGGGATTGGCAGAGAGGGCTGGAGGACACTTAATGGAAGCCAATGGAGGGGTTGCAGAGAGGGCTGGAGGACACTGAATGGAAGCCAATGGAGGGGTTGGCAGAGAGGGGTAGCAGACATTGAACGGTTAGTAAGGTGGATGAGTCTGGCAGCAGTATTCATGATGGACTGGAGAGGGGATAGCCTATGTAAAGGTAAGCCAATGAGGAAGGAGTTGCAGTAGTCAAGTCGCGAGATGACCAGGGAGTGAATTAGGAGCTTTGTGGTATCATTGGTTAAAACGGGGGGTATACTAAAGATGTTGCGGAGGTTGATGCAGCATGATTTGGACAGGGATTGGATGTGGGCCTGAAAGGATAGTTCAGAATCCAGGGTTACACCTAGCACCCTGGCATGCAGGGATGGGTTGATAGTGGTGCTATTGATCCTGACTGAGAAATCGGGAAGAGGCACGTGGGGCAGGAAATATTATGAGCTCAGTTTGGATAGATTGATTTTTAGAAAAAGGAGTGACATCCAGTCTGATATGTCTGTTAGTAAATTTGTGAAAATTATTGGAATCAAACTTAAAAATAAATCAAATAACTACCCCTGTGCCTCAGACTGGGAAATGAATGGGCAGTTGTTGGGGCAGCACTTGCTAAGAAGGATCATGCAATGAGCAGAGAGGAAGAGACCTCCTGAGTTGCCTGCAATTCACTGTCCAATCATAGGCTGGTGACAGGGACACGTAACCCATTTACAACCGAGCAATTTGTTGTGCATTTCCTGAAGCGCAACAACACAGAAGAGGAAGATTTTCATTATATTCATTTGTGTCCATCCATACCTGGGCATCTAGCTGCCACTTTCGCTTGAAAAAGTACATGAAATTTTATTTGGGAAGGTTTGTGCATTTTTATTTGCTACTAAAGTTAGTTCATCTGAGAATGTGCAACACAAGTGTTTTAGCACTTTTTTTGCACCTAACAACTGGTCTCCTCCCCTTAGCAACTTGAGGCCTGTGAACAAAGGTGAGGATTCAAGAGACTTTCATCTGCCTGGTAAGGGTCCACAAGAACCTCTAGGACCTCAATGATGACCATTACAACAATCTCTACCACCCCAGTGTTGACTATTACAAGAACCTTTACAAGCCCAGTGATGACCAATACAAGAACCTCTATGAACCCCAGGGATGACTATTACACGAACCTGTACACCCCCCATTGATGGCTATTACAACATACTCTATGACACCCCAGTGATGACTATTGCAAGCATCTATACAACCCCAGTGATGACCATTAAAGGAATTTATATGACCCCAGTGATGACCATTACAAGAATCTCTATGACACCAGTGATGACCATTACAAGAATCTCTATGACACCAGTGATGACCATTACAAGACACCTATGACCCCAGTGATTATCATTACAAGAATCTCTATGACACCAGTGATGACCATTACAAGACACCTATGACCCCAGTGATTATCATTACAAGAATCTCTATGACACACAGTGATGACCATTACAAGACCCCTATGACCCCAGTGATTATCATTACAAGAATCTCTATGACACCAGTGATGACCATTACAAGACACCTATGACCCCAGTGATTATCATTACAAGAATCTCTATGACACCAGTGATGACCATTACAAGACCCCTATGACCCCAGTGATGACCATTACAAGAATCTCTATGACCCCAGTCATAACCATTGCAAGAACACCTATGATCCCAGTCATGACCATGACTAGAATCTATATGACCCCAGTGATGACCATTACAAGAACCCCTATGACCCCAGTGAGGACCATGACTAGAATCTATATGACCCCAGTGATGACCAGGGGCGGACTGACAACTCATGGGGCCCCTGTGTCCTTGCCCAAACTCAAAAAAGTCTATGAAAAAAGGTATCAGGGGCATCTCATGGGGCCCCCTACTGACCCCGGCCCTCGGGCAGTGCCTGAGTTTCCAAATGGTCAGTCCGCCCCTGGGTGGGGTACATTCCTACATACAGTGGGACCATGGAGAATGAGCGTGGTCACCCTCAGTCTGCCCCTGGTGATGACCATTACAAGAACTGTGGCAAGAAGTAGAGGGTCTAAAGGGGTGCAGACCCTGCAGCTCTTCTCGTTAGAACACAGAGAGTGCACCCTGTGGTTTTAATAAACCAGACTCTTCCATTCAGAATCAATCTACATACCACATGGTGAACAGCTATTTCTTTAGAGCAGACAAAGGTAGCAATCTGCTACAAAGTTTGCTTGCCCGTTACGACCTGCTCAACACATAATTTGTGGGTGCAAAAGGGTGGGCTTTATCGCCCACATGCCACAAGTTGCATCACTGGGTGGCCAGTGTTTCTTTGCAGCTCTTGGTCCCTACTAACAATCAGTCGGCAGGACCAGCTCCCAATCATGGGACCACTGTGAAAGTCAATCACAGTGATCACTTGGTCGCCATTCTTTCCCTTCCCCAGACATTTAGAAATTTTAAAGGGTCCCTGAGACAGGCTGTGAGGGGTTAGAATCCATGCAATGTACATTTTCAACAAAAGTGGAGTTACTCTTAAAAGTGGAGTTCCACTCACCTGTCAAAAAGTAAAAGTCAGCTGCTACAAAAACTGTAGCTGCTGACTTTGCAAAAACAGCCACTTACCTGTCCCTCGGTCCCGTGGTGTGTCCCCCGCAGCCCGTTTCACCGGCCGTCCTGTATTCCTGGAGGCCGGCATCTTCAGTGTGGGCACCTGGCTGTGATAGCTTGCGGCTTCACAGCCGGGTACCCACTGTGCATGTGCGAGTAGCACTGCGCTTCATGAATGGTCCTATAGTCTTCTGGTACCTGTCACGTGCCCCAAAAGACTACAGGGAGGGAGGGAGGACACCTTCCGCTTCCGGTTGCCTAGGTGATCGGACCGGAAGTGGGAGCGGGTACCTGTCAAATTCGGGTACCCGCCCCCCCAAAGGTGCCAATCCTCAATAGAGGAGCAGTCCTTAAAGCGTAACTTCCCCTTTTGGGTGGAGCTCTGCTTTAAGCAGATGTCCAGTCCAAAGAAAGACCTGATCATTAAAAAATAAAATATCAAAACCTTCTTTTCCAGAGATTTGCCTTTTTTTCCTGCCTCAGTCTGATGGCCTTCATCTTTCAGGATCCAGGATTACCTGGACCCGCCTCCAGCCTGTAACTGGGCAGAGGGAGCACAGTGATGAGCTCATCTTACTGTCACTCTGCTCTCTCCCCCTATCAGCATGCCTATTATTCTGGTGCTGCTTCTTCTGCTCAAATTCCTGCCCGGCTGTACAGGGACTGCAAGCGGCCGATAACGGGTTACATTCAGATACTCGCACTGCTTGCATTTAAAAAAAAAATAAATCTAACGATGTATTCACTCCCTGGTTATATCTCTCGCCTTGACTATTGTAACTCCCTCCTCATTGGCCGACCTCATCGCAGACTATCCACTCTTCAGTCTATCATGAATGCTGCTGCCAGACTCACCCACCTTACTAACCGTTCTGTATCTGCCACCCCTCTCTGCCAATCCCTCCACTGGCCTCCAGTCAGTGTCCTCCACCCCTCTCTGCCAATCCCTCCACTGGCCTCCATTCAGTGTCCTCCACCCCTCTCTGCCAATCCCTCCACTGGCCTACACTCAGTGTCCTCCACCCCTCTCTGCCAATCCCTCCACTGGCCTCCACTCAGTGTCCTCCACCCCTCTCTGCCAATCCCTCCACTGGCCTCCACTCAGTGTCCTCCACCCCCCTCTGCCAATCCCTCCACTGGCCTCCTCTCAGTGTCCTCCATCCCTCTCTGCCAATCCCTCTACTGGCTTCCCATTGCCCAACGGATAAAATTCAAAACATTAACAATAACATATAAAACCATTTATAACTCTGCCCCAAATTACATCACCGATCTTGTCTCCAAATATCACCCAAACCGTCCTCTCCGCTCCTCGCAAGACCTCCTACTCTCTAGCTCCCTTGTCTCCTCCTCCCATGCTCGTCTCCAGGACTTCTCCAGAGCTTCCCCCATCCTCTGGAACTCTCTACCCCAATTTATCAGACTATAGCCTACTCTGCTCACTTTTAGGCGATCTCTGAAAACCTATCTCTTCAGGGAAGCCTATCCTGCCTTCAGCTAATAATGGAATCTTCTATTCCTCCTACCAGTCCATCCCCCACAGTTACTACCTTTTGTACCACTAGCCCCTCCCTCCTAGATTGTGAGCTCCAAGGATCAGGGCCCTCCTATCCCTCTTGTATTGAACTATATTGTTGCTGTATTGTCTCCCGTTATATTGTAAAGCGCTGAGCAAACTGTTGGCGCCATATAAATCCTGTATATTAATAATAATAATATATAAATCCTGTATAATAATAATAATAATATATATAAATCCTGTATAATAATAATAATAATAATATATATAAATCCTGTATAATAATAAATATAAATCCTGTATAATAATAATAATATATAAATCCTGTATAATAATAATATATATAAATCCTGTATAATAATAATAATAATATATATAAATCCTGTATAATAATAAATATAAATCCTGTATAATAATAATAATATATATAAATCCTGTATAATAATAATAATAATATATAAATCCTGTATAATAATAATATATATATAAAATCCTGTATAATAATAATAATAATATATAAATCCTGTATAATAATAATAATAATAATATATATAAATCCTGTATAATAATAATAATATATATAAAATCCTGTATAATAATAATCATGATTACAGAGCTGGAGTTCAACTTTTTGAAAAAATAACTCTTTATTGGATATCAGGATAAGTTGATCGCGGACTATACGCTTCAAAGCCACCAATCAAATGTTAACTTGTCCACAGCAGCCAGTAAACAGTGACCTATGATGAAAAGTGGAATCTGATTAGCCGTTCCGGATTACTGCGCTGCGTACATCATCTCTTCCTGCCTGAAATTGACCTTGCCATCTGCTCGCCGGAGTAAATATTTGCGGTGATTTGCTCGGACCACTTAAACAGCTTGTATGTCAGTAGTAGAT